GTTTCTGTGTGCCTCAGTGGCTCTATCAGAGTCTGCTATGAGCTAGGTGTTCTTATTTATTTTATTTATTTGCTTCCAATACCTCAGCTTCTTCAATCAGTTGAAATTTGAAATTCGGAAGTCCGTGTTTTGTCTAGAACAAAAAAAAGTTTGAAAACATAAGAATGCCCCAAATTCCCAGAAACAAGAGGCTAACTAAATAGAACCCCACCCATTTCATTACTGATTACTGCATTTTTACTGATGTATTTGTCAGGCAGTTGAGAGAGATCTCTGTTTTTCTTCATGATTTTTTGAACATTCAGAGCTGGATAATAGCAGCAGTCTGTTTCTTTCCTACACTTTTGTATCCCTAGCAGATGGTCTGTCTTTTCTCGGGCCCTCTGCTAGGAGCCAGCCATAGCCCTTCATACCTTCATCCTGAGCCCTTGTGCTGCACCTAGCTATTTGCTCATGCTGTTGGCCTACTGAGTATTCACAGTGCAAGAGCATTAAAATAGCAGTGCCAGATAGCAGCAGAAATGTAGCCAGACCTGTTTCCTCTTAGTAGATTGAGCCTTGCAAAATAGTCGTAGCTTCAGGAAGAAATTGCATAAGCCAGTAAGGAGGGTTTCTCAAATAAATGTGTGTTGAAGAGAGGCACTTGTCATGAACTCCTTGCCTTTTGTCTTGTTAATCCATTGGCTTTTGTGCCCTATGGCTTATTTTGTCTTACTTGATCAATAGGTTTGTTAGAGACTCCTAGAGTGCATCCTTCTGATTACTCTGTATTTGTCTTGTTAATAGCCTGGGTGTCTTACATCTATGCTGCCAAAGAGAAAGGGAATTAGCTCTAAATCTAAGACAGAAAATAGTTTTATTTCTTTCTTCGGTCTTAAAGGCAGATTTTTAGAAATACTAGGCTTTAGAATCTGAGCAAGTACCTTTGTTTTTTGTTCCACAAATGTTCGGAATCCAAAGGAATCCAGCAGGAAGTGCTGTGATTTTCAACATAGAGGCTTTAGGTACCTCAGTATTGGGATAGTTTTTCAAAAGTTTGCTGTATTTTTTGTTTTGCCTCTAGTACTTCTACAAATCTCAATGATTTTTTCCTGAGGGCAAAAAAAGGCTTATTATGAAATAATTGCCCCTGGTAAGGTTTGAGGAATTTACCATCCTATTATTTTAGTTTCAGAAAGGAAATAAACCTTTTCAAAAATATATTTTATATGAAAAATTGAAAGCAATATATATTGTATTTGTTCTAAGTTAGTCCAGAGCTTATTTTCCCTGGATACCTAATGGTTAAAGTATGAGTATAGGTGCATTTTTCTTGCACATAACTATAATTGTGAATTTGAATTTCACCTCCTGCAACTATTCGTTTACCTCGCTTTGCTCTATTGACTATTCCTGCAGCAAACCCATTGTACAAGTGTGTGAAAATACTATGGGAGGACATGGAGAAAGGGAAGCAAATAGATATAGTTAAAATGTAATGCTTTTAAAATTCATATGGGGTTTCACTCTCTTTGCAGTATTTGCCAGATAACTAGGGAAAAATGTAATGTCCTAAGCGGTGTACCATATACTCTATGCAGTTGGAAATACATGGAGCGCATACGTTTTCTGTATGTACAAAGTAAATATTAAAAATAGTTCAAATGCAAGCAACAGTCATGTATATGTTTGTGTTTATTAAGCCTTTTCCATTTAATGGACTTGTATGGAACCAAAACGTTTAGTATTTTTTTGCTGGTACTTGAAAAGTACTTGGTTTACAAGTGGCAGAGAGGACTTACGTTTTTATACATATTCTTTTTTTCCCTTTTTTTTTTTTTTGCTGCAGCGGGCAACATTATAAAATTTTAATAAAGAATTCTTACCATTTAACAGTTGTGATAAAGAAAACTCTCTGTTTTAGTGCCTCAGTAGACATGATAAAGAAAATATGTTAGTATGCATATTTAATAGGAAAATTTATACTGAGAGAAGACATATGTCCCAAAGGAATACATGAATATACTTATTTCCTGATCTATCATTTTATGATTTTATCATTTTACTTTGCAAGTCAATCTGTTTCCGATAGTGCCTTTATCTTAGCCATGGGTAGGGTTGACACAAAGACAGTTTTTACAGGGGCAGTGCCCCTTAATTAAGTACTTCTTGGTTAACTATTAGATTTCATGAAAAAATCAGAAAAGAAAGAGAGCCAAAAAGTATAAAGAAGAATATTTGTTCCAATTCCATAAATCTATACATGCCTGAAATATATTAATGTGGAATACAGGAGCTCTGCAGAGCTCAGGGGGTGGGATGGCACCTGAGGATGGCACATTTTCCCCTGCCGATTTAAGTTTTTCCCGTGTGAGTAGTTGCTGTCAAAATGAGTTGGCCTTCCCAGTTCTGCCTCTAGTTAATATGTTTCACCCCAGGAAAACACGTGCCATTGCACCTTGCTGAGCTCAGTTAGCTGAAAGACGAGTGTGCCTTAGTTTTCGCTGGGGAAATCCTGACGACCTTTAAATTAATAGGAACTCTGAGGTTATTTTTTTGGACCTGGAATTTCACACTTTGCCATGATTGCTCTGGGTCACGTTTGGCTGCATTGGGAAATTGGATTTGCCAATGTAGAGCTCAAGGATTTTGGACTGAGATGGTTGAGGTATGCATCTAATGTCAAAGCCAAGCATAGCCAGCTGTGAAGAAACAGATAATTTAGAGTGAAACAGTAGACTAGATTGTGGGGAAATCAATTCTCCCTGTGCCTCTCAAAGGAGATACCATTCTACCAAACATAATAGGAAACAGCCACACCGCCTACTATGCCAAATCCTTTTTTAAAATTATCCTTAATCTCAGCTTCCCGCTTTATCATCATACTGCTATTCCTTCACCTGTCGGAGACCAGCAAGTCTCTGCAAAGTCATTTACAGTACTTGCTTCTGTGGCCTCCCCTGAACTCATTTCTGGTACTTGCTCCTGTAGCTTCTCTCATACGTCTGTATTCTTTGTGTGAAGTAGCTCCTCTTTTATTTCAATCATTTCAGAAAATTCTGCCTATCTGCGGGGGATGGAGGGGAGGTAGCACAGCTTTTGTTTTAACATGCTCTTTTACCATTCACCTTGTTTGTCCTTCTCTTCTCAGAAAACCAAAAGGGATGTAAATAACTTTGATCAAGACTTTACCCGAGAAGAACCAGTATTAACTCTAGTGGACGAGACAATTATAAAACAAATCAATCAAGAAGAATTTAAAGGGTTCTCTTATTTTGGAGAAGAGCTACTGCCATAGACAACATTAGGCTGACAGATGAATGATGCTGCAAGTAGTGATTCTGAAGAGATCGTCAAATTACTGAGACTCAGTAGATCAAGAACTACTTCTCTTACCCTGAGCCCATATCCCCAATTAAACTATATATTTATTGTTTTTTTCTTTAATCTTCTGACCTGAAAGCACTCTTAATTTCTGTCTCATGAAGCAATGCAAATGCAAAACAATTTTGTATCAGAAATTGTAGATGTAACACACTGCCGTGTATTTGCAACTTCTTTTCTGTTCCTAAGATCTCCCCAGAGGACAAAATTCCATCTTTTTCATGGAAAATGGAACCTTGCTATTAAAAAATTGGCAGATCATGTTATTTAATTGTCATACATATTTAAACTAAGAAGGTGACAACAGTTTTGCCCGCACCGGTGGTTACGGTGAGATCTCTAGATATGGAACATATAAGTAATATATTGCCTTCTGGTAAGTGAAGAAATCCACCTTCTTGGAGGTGGGATTATTGATTGTGAATATTTTATTGGGTGGAGGTTCAGACATGAAGTGTAATGGTCCAGAAAAAGAAGCACAGCTAATTAAGGCTTTTGATGAAATTCCTTTTAAAATTCATGAAAAAATAGGAATAAAAATCACAGAATTAACTAAAATTTTATTTGCAGTAGGAAATCAGATACTATATGGATAGCTATTAAAGGGCTAAAGAATAAAAAGCCTGCAGTACAGCAGCTATAGGTAGGCATTTTACAGTTTTTCAGGCAATTGAGTGTACTATACATGCTACAAAATTTAACATCCATTCAAACAAACCATTAATGTGATGGCAAGGTTGCAAACGTTTACAATTAATTTTCTATCAAATTAATTATAAACATTGTAAATCTGCCTCTTTCCATTGTAACTAAGTTGATAAATAGTTTCTTATTTATATTTATTTTTCTCAGCAGTGTGTTACTTTTGCACACTTTTACAAAACCATAATACTACTGTTTGTTGTTTTTTATGTTTAAAATCTAATGAGAAATCTGCTTTTAGAAGACACAAAATAAGGCTACACGTGCATTACGTGGAAATGCGTTAACTGAAGATCAAACATTGACAAACTGACATTATTGAAAGTTGTAAATTGATTTTCTTGTGCATTAATTGAAGCGGTAACTCATGTGGACGATATTGCTAATGTGAAGTTACCTCCTGTAGATACGCTAACAGTGTTATGTACTTATTTTCCAGGAGTACCCTGTGTTTTCTTTGTGTACATGTATCGCTGAGGTCGTTTTATTATATATTTTACTGGACTGAGTGAGCGGTCATTGGAATCCATTTTAATTGTTGTACATGGATTTCCAGCTGCACAAAAATATATATACTTGTGATTGGCAAAGTGGCACTAAAGAAGCTTTTTTGCCTTTTGTACAGGTGAGATTTTGTATATAGTGTTTGCTGCAAGGCCTGTGGAATTCATTGAATATAGAGGTATCAACTGCTGCATGTTCAGGCATACTATTAAAATGTTAGTCTATGAAAGAATAATTATAATAATGTCCATGTGCAATACTCTTGTATGTGTATTGGTTCAAGTTACTGTCAGAGAGATGAGGTTTTTGTTATAAAAAGATGTAGACATATATTAAGCTATACTAAATCTCTTGTATAGTTCTCTTCGACTCTATTATGCTATGACAGAGCTAGGGAAGAGAGGAGCGTTCCAAGTTGTGGTGGACAAGGTGCGAGTCCTTGGCTTTAGGCGATAATCCTGGTCTCAAGCAGCTGAGTGAGTTTGTGTCAGTTTTTGTGTCTGGCTGCGCCTAGCCTTCCTTACTGATGACAACATTCAGTTCCATTTTGTTTTGTTTTTAAAACTCAGGTGTAATTATTATATATATTCTTATGATGATTTCAAAATATTAAATATTATGGTATATCAATTAATGTGTTGTCTGGCCTACAGGTGTAATAATGGATCAAGCCTTTAGTTTAATTTAATTTATCTTCAGTAACCTTTTGTACTGGGAAAGACTAGCTTCTGGGGCTGAGTACCAGCACAGAAACATCTTAACGATCGCATCATCTCAGCGTTTAAATTTCTTTCTCTTTTAGAAATATATTGTAGAACTGCCCATCAGTGCGTGTGTCACTACTGGCTCTGTTTATTTCTCGCCACAGTTTAGCTTTTGCCACCCAGGCAAGGACTGATCACAAAGCTAAAGCCTCTTTTCCATAGGTGAGTAGACCAGCTAGGAAGGTGAGTGGTCGGATAGTGCACTGCTCTTTGCTTATTGCGAGGCCTTTGCATTCAAACTAGGAGCGTTTATTCTGAAGGAAAAAAAGCATCCCCTAAAGCAAGCTTCTCTAAGCAAGCTCTGTAGTCCCATTTCTAACATGAAGATAATCAGTAACTTGGTATCTCAAGAGGCCTCGGCACCTGCATTGTTTGGTGGGATGCTAAAGGAAAAGTCAAGGAGATTTAAATAAATAAATAAAAACTTTTGCATGGGCAGATATTTCTTCAATATAAATAGTTAGCGCCTCCGCATTGGGTTTACATCAGAAGGTTTGCCTGTTACCTTGAGCATTTTTTAAAGATAACTCTTAAAAACGGACATTCTGTTACATTTCTGCCTGTTCTGTAAAATCTTTCTCGTTCCTGCTTTGTAAAATGAGTGCAAAATGCCAAAAAGATTATTAATAATTATTATTATAAAATTTCCATTGTTTCTTGTTTTTTTCCTCCCAAATAGACTTTGTAAAAAAAAAAAAAATGCAGAAACACATTTTTCTCCATAGACTGAAAAATAATTCTCTCCAAAAAAGGCTTACAAATTACCTCTTTTTAAATTATGTGCAGAATAGCTCTGTCTAAATATAAAATGTATTCAGTTGGGGGGTAGGTTTTTTTATTGTGAGGATTTATTTGTACAGAATTTTTTTTTCTTATGGATGTAATTTGAATCTCTTGCCATTCATTAGTGTTATTTCATCGTAAACATTATTACTGTGCCAAATGTACTGTATTCAAAAGGATGTGAATGTGTATTGTTTCAGAACCTAATAAATACAATGATGTTAAATCTTATTTTTTCCCCAAAGTTTTCATGAGTATTTCGTAATGAGGAAGAAACAAAGGTTAAGGATGAACATTTTCCTGTTACATGTCAGAGAAATCACCGTGAATTTGTCTTTTAGGAGTGGACATTTTGCAAAGGAAGGATTTGCTCATCTTAGGAGGTACTAAACACCTGAAGAGAAACCAGGTAACAGTGATTGAAGTCCGGTTAACTTTGGCAATATAACATTTACCTTAAATGTGCCAAAACAGGTGAGTTTGCAGACTTGTTTTTACTTACCCACTACATAATGGTTACTGAGTCCCTGGATCAGGACTGAGCCTAGCATTCTTAGTTGCATTTTTTAAAAATGTACTTCAGTAGGGCACTTCATATATAAATATCTAAGACTGTTTTAGGCTTGGATTACATGGCAGGCTTAATATCATGCATAAATTCAATTAATTTAGGTGGGGTCTTGGTCTATTAAATTTTTTAACTTAATCTTTCAGTGTGACATACTGTGAAATATTTCAAAGTGGAGAAGATATCAAAGATTGTATTTCAGATTGAACTTTACACACTTTCATTTATCATGGTCTAAGATTCTTCAGATCTGCTTCAGTAGATCAGCTATCAGCATACTGTTCACTGGCAATGATTCCAGCAGTATTTGAATAAACTGGTGAATATCAGAATAAGTATTCAATGGGGAATGTATTTGTTGGAGACCCTTTACACACATCAGTTCCTCCAGGGTCCCTGCAGGATGGATGCACAGGGGCTGAGCTGTGAGTAAAATGAATCACAAATCTAGTCTCAGGGGTTCAGCTTTTTAATTGTGTTTTGAGGTCAAATCACAGATCCATCTATTTACTTAAGAATGAAGGCTTTTTATCCTTTGCTTTTTTAATAATTCCTGGTTACAATTTTAAGTAAAGACTCTTTTCCATTGGTAAAAATGTTATGATAAATAGAAAAGACTGAAGCCCTGTATCAAATCATTGATGCGAAGACTCCTCCAAGCAAGTGCAGGAGGTACAAGGTGTGATATGTGCCATGTGGGGGTATCAGAACATTTTCCAGGCTATATCCAGAAGCTTGAACAGTTCTTAATAAAACCATGTGTCAACTAAAACATTTTTTAGTTGTCTGGTAACTTTCTATTTAACTTCCCATTGCTCTTGTTTTAACTTTCAGTAGCCAAAACTCTTGAGATCTCTTAGTCCAACAGGCGAGTAGCCAACTAAAGGGTAAGATTTGCTTATACAGTAGGAGTGTAGTGCTTTTTACCATGGTGTTTAGGCTTTCAAGCTCTTTCTGGGTTGCAGGGAGGAAGCCAGCATGTCAGCTATGTACTAATGGAACAGATCCAATCTACCTTCTCACTTTTATAGATTATATTTTACAGTCACGCAGTGATGTGGACATCAATATACTGTGAAAATCAAGGATTTTAGCTATTGCTATAATTCTGATGATTTCAGAACTAGTATGATAATCTGCTAAAGGCAGACCTTAGCTTTTTAGTTTGTGCATTGTTTCTTGCTCAAAACTTGACAACAGAAAAATCTTTTTATGATGCCAAGTTACTTCCGTTTCTTGCTCAAAACTTGACAACAGGCAAGAGAAATCTTTTTATGATGCCAAGTTACTTCACTGTAATATTTCTATTACACAATCATAGCTCTTCTTTTGGTAATTACTCTAACAATGTCGTAATACTGCTCACTACTAGTTTGAGGTAGCATCAATCTCTCTTAAGGTTTCTATAACTACAAATAGGATCTAAGATCTCTCTCTGTGTAATAAATGAATACATAGCACTCCTAATGCCCATGACCATTCATGTACCTAATCTGATCAGCACTGCTTTATCTTGGGGCAATCTCGTCACCTTTTGCAACCTCTGTGTATCACAGACCCCAAGACCCAAAGTTGCAGGAGATGCAGGATATGCAGATTTCCTTTTGCAATTAACTCTAGTTGAAAAAGAGAAGCAATCACCAAGCCCTGGCCTATCAAATAAAAACTTCCTATTCAGCCAGACTTCTGAAGATGAAGAAGCAGATCTGGGGCGGACATGGAGAATCTTGGGCATGAAGAGGCAAAAGTGAGAATGGATTAGATCAGAATGGATTTTTAGGAACAAGAAGACAAAGCTTTTCATCTAAAACACATAAATAAGATTTGTATCACTAAAAGAAGGGATGAGCAGCCATATGGGCTCAAACCAAATGTATCTTGGGTCATTTGGGTCAAATATCTTTTTCTTGGCAAGGTCAGTAGCTTAACCAGTAATGAGAATCAATTACAAATGGAAAGGTGTTGGCTATAATCGAAGCGGTATAGCCTATAGGAAATACCCATGAAAAAAATACAAGAACAAGGAAATGTAAGGTTGTATTCTTCTTGCCTCCAGCAGCTTGTAGCTCCAGGTCTTCATAAAG